GTACTATATACAGAAGTTGTAACAAAGATTACCTGATTCCAACAGAAGACGGTGTCTTCCCCCGTGTACTATATACAGAAGTTGTAACAAAGATTACCTGATTCCAACAGAAGACGGTGTCTTCCCCCGTGTACTATATACAGAAGTTGTAACAAAGATTACCTGATTCCAACAGAAGACGGTGTCTTCCCCCGTGTACTATATACAGAAGTTGTAACAAAGATTACCTGATTCCAACAGAAGACGGTGTCTTCCCCCGTGTACTATATACAGAAGTTGTAACAAAGATTACCTGATTCCAACAGAAGACGGTGTCTTCCCCCGTGTACTATATACAGAAGTTGTAACAAAGATTACCTGATTCCAACAGAAGACGGTGTCTTCCCCCGTGTACTATATACAGAAGTTGTAACAAAGATTACCTGATTCCAACAGAAGACGGTGTCTTCCCCCGTGTACTATATACAGAAGTTGTAACAAAGATTACCTGATTCCAACAGAAGACGGTGTCTTCCCCCGTGTACTATATACAGAAGTTGTAACAAAGATTACCTGATTCCAACAGAAGACGGTGTCTTCCCCCGTGTACTATATACAGAAGTTGTAACAAAGATTACCTGATTCCAACAGAAGACGGTGTCTTCCCCCGTGTACTATATACAGAAGTTGTAACAAAGATTACCTGATTCCAACAGAAGACGGTGTCTTCCCCCGTGTACTATATACAGAAGTTGTAACAAAGATTACCTGATTCCAACAGAAGACGGTGTCTTCCCCCGTGTACTATATACAGAAGTTGTAACAAAGATTACCTGATTCCAACAGAAGACGGTGTCTTCCCCCGTGTACTATATACAGAAGTTGTAACAAAGATTACCTGATTCCAACAGAAGACGGTGTCTTCCCCCGTGTACTATATACAGAAGTTGTAACAAAGATTACCTGATTCCAACAGAAGACGGTGTCTTCCCCCGTGTACTATATACAGAAGTTGTAACAAAGATTACCTGATTCCAACAGAAGACGGTGTCTTCCCCCGTGTACTATATACAGAAGTTGTAACAAAGATTACCTGATTCCAACAGAAGACGGTGTCTTCCCCCGTGTACTATATACAGAAGTTGTAACAAAGATTACCTGATTCCAACAGAAGACGGTGTCTTCCCCCGTGTACTATATACAGAAGTTGTAACAAAGATTACCTGATTCCAACAGAAGACGGTGTCTTCCCCCGTGTACTATATACAGAAGTTGTAACAAAGATTACCTGATTCCAACAGAAGACGGTGTCTTCCCCCGTGTACTATATACAGAAGTTGTAACAAAGATTACCTGATTCCAACAGAAGACGGTGTCTTCCCCCGTGTACTATATACAGAAGTTGTAACAAAGATTACCTGATTCCAACAGAAGACGGTGTCTTCCCCCGTGTACTATATACAGAAGTTGTAACAAAGATTACCTGATTCCAACAGAAGACGGTGTCTTCCCCCGTGTACTATATACAGAAGTTGTAACAAAGATTACCTGATTCCAACAGAAGACGGTGTCTTCCCCCGTGTACTATATACAGAAGTTGTAACAAAGATTACCTGATTCCAACAGAAGACGGTGTCTTCCCCCGTGTACTATATACAGAAGTTGTAACAAAGATTACCTGATTCCAACAGAAGACGGTGTCTTCCCCCGTGTACTATATACAGAAGTTGTAACAAAGATTACCTGATTCCAACAGAAGACGGTGTCTTCCCCCGTGTACTATATACAGAAGTTGTAACAAAGATTACCTGATTCCAACAGAAGACGGTGTCTTCCCCCGTGTACTATATACAGAAGTTGTAACAAAGATTACCTGATTCCAACAGAAGACGGTGTCTTCCCCCGTGTACTATATACAGAAGTTGTAACAAAGATTACCTGATTCCAACAGAAGACGGTGTCTTCCCCTGTGTACTATATACAGAAGTTGTAACAAAGATTACCTGATTCCAACAGAAGACGGTGTCTTCCCCCGTGTACTATATACAGAAGTTGTAACAAAGATTACCTGATTCCTCGACAAAACAGTATGTTCCCCAGTGCTGATGAATCAATAAACTGCTTTAAGGATGCGACTTTGTATTTAAATGCAATATTTCCATCATTTAAAGGAATCTTCTCTTATTGGAATATGTATTATAATCCAAAAGTCGTTTACACACAAATGTCTTCAGAACATTTTATACAGGAGATTGAATGCCTGGATCAGCAAATAGGCCACACACAAAAATTCAGTCAAAATGAGATACACTGCATACTGTCGGCTCAGCAGCTGTAGGCTCTGGTCTGGTGGATGTCAAAAGGTTTCATTGAAATAATGCATAATGCAGATATCTGTGTGTATGTGTAGATGTTGATCTGCGTCGAGAGACACACAGCAACAAGAATTCATTTTTACATGCTTGTAACACATAGATCACTACGCTACACGTAGATGCAATCAGAATCAATACTCCATAAAAAAACGTTCCCTTACATAACTCACAACAAACATCAACAAGCTTACAGAAGAAAATGCCAAGTCACAGAGTACATGAACATGATTAACTCATTCACCCTGAAGACACATTTGAACTCTACCAATTCAAAGGTTGGAATAGTTCATTATGAAATTTCAGGGGTGAACAAGTTAAAATAGAAGTAAAAGGCATAATCTGTTAAAATAATGCATATATTAAGTGAACTTCAAAGGAAGTAACAGAACAGTTCTGCAGACTTTTACCTACAGTGGCTAACTTAAAATAACAGAAGATATCCTACAAGAGTGTCAATCCAATAAATAGCTATCCTAAAACTGTGGTGGAACTGGACTGGTTTGATCATTGGCTACCAGGTAGCTTTATTGGTAGAGCGTTCGTCTAGAGTTCGGAGGGTTCCGGGTTAGAACAGTGGTGCCTGTGACCCACCCTCGTTTTAATCCTTGTTTTCAACATTCGGTGTACGCTTGGCAGGGGATAACCGATTCTGGGTTGTAAATAGTTGTGTCTTCAGGGGGAAGACTTAGAAAAAAGAGGGAGGAATGTGGTGGAACTGGACTGGGTCGATTACCAGCAACCAGGTATCTCAATTGGTAGAGCGTCTGTCCAGAGTTTGGAGGGTCCTGGGTTCCAACCCTGGTCTGGCCATGCATTTTTCCCTCTCCCACAACTACAGTCACTTTACTATAACAAGTTTGCTCGTTTACCTATAACAGTAACTATCCTTCAATAACAATAGCCTTCCTAAAAATGAAGTAGCTTTCATATAACAAGGCAAAGTATTGCACGGCAATCCATAGTCCCCCACTGGTAATGATTTCTATATTTAACAAACAGTACACTTATGTCAGGATGTACCTACCGTTAGGAAAGTAATACTCCTAATACATACTTGTTGCACTCCGCCATCCCAAGATCTCCTTGTACATTAAAATCTTGTTTCTCCAGGTGAAATAGTATGGATGGTATGCCCTGGACAAACTTTTTCAAAAGGTCAAAGGTCAAGTTATAGGTCACAGTGACCAAATTCTTGCACTCTGCACTCCACCATCCCAAGATCCCCTTGTACATTAAATCTTGTTACTCCCCAGGCCAAATTTGGATAAAATCCCAAAAGTTACAGAAGAAGAAGGATTTTGAAGATTTAAACCTCCAATTCTCCTTTTGATCCCTGCCCCTCTACTCTGCACCCAAAGGCCCCCAAAGGGGTCACACCCACCATTTATACAAAATTAAGTCCCCTTGGGCAAAGGATGCTCCAGACCAAATTGGGATAAAATCCCTTAATCCCTATGGTAGGAGAAGGTTTTTAAAGGAATAATACCTCTATTTCCCCTATAGGGCCCCATCTCTCAGACCCCAGGGGGGCCCCACCCACCGTTTGTACAAAATTGAGTCCCCCTTGCCAAAGGATGCTCAAGACTAAATTAGGTTAAATCGCTTTATTCCTACAGTAGAAGAAGGATTTTAAAGGTTTACCTCTATTTCCCCTATTGTGTCCCCCTTTCTGCCCCAGAGGGGCCACACCCACTGTTTATACAAAATTGAGAGACCTTGGCCTAAGGATGCTCCATGCCAAATTTAGTCAAAATCTACTAGGCTGTTCAGGATAAGTAGCACTATGAAGAAAAAGTTGACGGACGGACAGACGGACGGATGACGGACGCTGCGGTATGGCATAAGCTCAATCACCATGGTCCATCAGATCAGGTGAGCTAAAAATCCTATAACTTTCTATATTGAGACTTCTGTAGTAATATTTGATGCATTTGAAAATGAGGGAAATTTAGAACATACATTTCTATCCAATTTTCATAATAATATACTTGTGATTTAAACCTTAAAGCTGAATATTCTGAAGCTTTAACACTTAGAATACTCTGAGTTATCTCCCTTCCTCTGGATGCCACACTCTAACAGCAGGTACATATGAAGTGGCTGTGTACTGAGGAAACAGGTTCAGCATTGAAGATCTGGCACTGTTTTGTATAGATCTGTATCCCTGGCCCTCAGAAGGCAGGCGGAGGATGAAAGTCTCGGCCGCCAGGCAAACGTACTAAGAACCACCTGATTTCTGCGTACATTAACCCTACATATCAGATGGAAATGTTTCCATCACAGGAACCGAGCATGTTTTATGTAGATCTATTACAATAATAAGTCTTTGTTTCAATGTTAGTACAAAATTCTCCAACAATGATGTGCAGACATCTTTGTCTATTGCATTAAAAACACTCAGGTAAAACTTTGAATATTATAAGCCCTGAAACCAAAGTCTAGCCTAACTGATCAGGTCCCTGACATAGATGCAGGCAATATAACATTTAACTCCGATCATAGAAATGTCATGAGAAGGAGATGACAGGAAATATTAAGACATTTCATCTAACTTTGTGGAGCCCTTGGGTAACTTTAAAGAAATTCACTAAAATATCGACCAACAGCTGCATTCATGATATGGATCAAATTTGTGTTGAGACCTACCTCACAGAATAGAAGGAGTCGGAGAGCCTCCGTACAAATCGGTCATGTTTAATGGCCAGGCGATTCACGCTCTCCGTAAATGATCCATGTCTCTTCACAGCATTCTGGTGAAAAAGAACAAAAGCATACATTATAATCATCCTCTAAACTCCCGTTAATTTCTTTGTGATACTACAGCCTATTACACAAGCCAATGAAGCCATACATATTTATATGATGGCACTGGATATAACAGACACAGATTAATGATTCTAGAAAGGAAATACCACAGGAAAATCTAGCAAAATATTCGTAGGTCTTGATAGTCATCTGAGTATATTTGTACCCAAAAGAAAAGAGCAGAACTTCACAGATATATGAAAAGTAGCCCTCCATCCAAGTAAGCTACTGGCCAAATAATATGACCCATTAAGGCTTAATGGTTCTGTCTTGAGAAGCCATTTAAAGCTTTTAACATATTTGACCGATGGATGTGATGAATGAAAATCATGGTAATATATTTGATCGTCTGTAACGGCCTTGATCTCAGCTAAATACAGGCCAAATGTTATGAATTTAGGCCTTATGGTTGTTATTGAGAAGCCATTTATATTTTACTTGTGAACCTAAAAGAAGGCCAAGGTCATTCATTTGAAGATTGCTTCTTGTCATTTTTAGCTGAGATGGAGAGCTATCTTCAAATAAATGACCTCGACCTTCTTTTAGGTTTTAATCTGCAATTGATATACTCTGCTTCTTTTCATTATTAGCTGAGATGAAGAGCTGAGTATATCAATTGCAGATGGATAAATACATCTTTGCCTTTGGCTCAGGTGATCTATAAATTATCAAATAGTCTTAAATTTCGAGTTTATATAAATTATGCTTTTTGACTATTATCGAATGAATTTACACATTTTCACATCTCTTTTTTTTAAATGACATTTTGTTTACTTGTGGCATAGAAAACTGATATACAGCTGGTCAGTTGGGCTGAATCCTAATGATATAATGCCGGAGATGGACACACACTGGTCTAACAAATGTGATAAATAATTGGGTCAGAAATGTGGTTTAACTCGCCTAATCAACATGCTATATTCAAAATGTATTTATTCTGAGAACATTTTAAAGCCTACAAGTGTTGATTGACTTGAGAAGTAATATTTTGACGGCTATTATGACCAGTGTGGGAATCCTTTATTATATACCTTGGTAACGAGACATTGATTACCTCCCTTGTCTTCATTAAACCTGAATGTTGAATTTCTATCAGGGGGTACATCAGTCTTGTACCATAAGTACTTTCAGGAATCACCAGATTTATTTTATTGAAGCAATTTTGAGGACGATTTTGTATGACACACATAGCCCATATACATGTAGTCCTATATGCCAGACCTGCCATCTGCTGTCAGTTCTAATTTTTAAAATGACAAAGGCATCGCATGGGGACTGATAAAGTAGACATTTGGACTTTTTGACCTATAGCTTATGTCAGTCGCTACATTTATATGTGTCGCCATGATCTTTGCTGGCCTTGGAAGTATACACAGTTTTTTCCATTTCTTTTTAAAAAAAATCCTAGTAAAGGTGTCAGACTTAAAAACTATATATATATATAGTACAAGGCAAACATCCTATGATCTTAACTGATCTAAATCACTGACATACACACATTAGTATAAATACAATATACGTGCAATCTTGGAGAAAGACATAAGTGAACAAAGGCAACATTCACTTAACTAAGAACACATGTACATCTAAATCAGGCAACTAATTCTAAACTTATATACATTGTATAGACAGAAACTGAACTCTGCCTATCTTCACTAGTTACAGAAGTTATAGATGTAAATTAGTTATTATCTTTATATACGATGTGATAATATAGTAATTCGTGCTATGACTTTTCAGCCGAGCGAAATCCACATAGGTAATAAGAAATACCTGTGAGTAATTCAAGCGTTTCTTTCCAATTATATTCTGGTCAATGACCATCCGATAGGAATTTCCATTAGTAATTACAAGGCTGTGTGATATCAAGTGTCCGGTTCAAACAGCCTTGGGGATTTTTTTTTAAAGTTTCCATCATAATTAAAGTAAACTGACCACTAGCCTCTACAATTGAACCCACATCCCCATGACCTTCTCCTGACCACAGAGGCTAGCAGCCACATATCATGATCTGGACTGGTTCCAACTGTGACATGTCAAAACCATTCTGGAGATCGGGTTTCAACATATCAATTCTTTATAATAGAAAACAGTGCAGACATGTTGTAATGTATACCTATCAGTGAATTATACATTGTAAATGGCTACAGCATTTTTTTTTCTTCTGTCTTACCTATTCTTTCCACTGATACGTCCTTATTGCCATCTTTAGGAAGCCTCTCCTCATAGGTAATAAAAGCAAAGTGAGCAGAGGCTCATATAGATATACCCCTCCTCACCACCCCCTTTCCACCTCCTCACCACCCCTTTCCAACTCCTCACCACCCCCTTCCAACTCCTCACTACCCCCTTTCCAACTCCTCACCACCCCTTTTCCAACTCCTCACCACCCCCTTTCCAACTCCTCAACATCTCCTTTCCAACTCCTTAACAACCCCTTTCCAACTCTTCACCACCCCCTTTCCAACTCCTCACCACCTCCTTTCCAACTCCTCACCACCCCCTTCCAACTCCTCACCAACACCTTTCCAACTCCACCCCCCCCACCTTTTCAACTCCTCACCCCCCCATTTCCAACTCCTCACCCCCCCTTTCCA